AAGTCTCATTTTATTCACTACTTACAGTTCCATATGCTGACAGTAGGCATTATAATCTTCATTCCACTAAGAAGGTGTCTTAGTTACTTTTTTCCTTGCTGAGAGAAAAACTCAACATCTCAAGTTAGGAGAGGAAGGGTTTCTTTAGTTCACAGATTATAGAGGGTTCAGTTCATAATCAGTTGGTTCCAAGGCAGTGTGGCACATGTTAGAGGGGCAACAGTTCACAGCAGTGGAAGACAGTAAAAGCAAAAAGCCAGTGACAGAGGGGAGAGCAAGCCTCTTTTCATCACTTATATTGTACCCAGTCTTTCAGGAATAGGGTGGTGCCAATCAAATCAGTAGACTCATCCACCAGTCAACCAACTACTAAGCTTAATCCCAGCACCCTTAACCCCAGCACTGCACTATGAACCAATCACATCTAGATTTAGCTGCCTCCAAAAAGCCCACCCTCCAGGACTGCATGAGGCTTTGGGGGAACATCAAGACACAAACCATAGCAGAAGGAATTAAGTTTCAGAGAAGTTAGAGTCCTGCACTAGATGGCAGAACTAGTAAGTGGCACAGCCAGGGTTCAAATAGGTTTTCTCCCCCAAATTCCATGTATCTGCAATATTAACCACTCTCTTCAGTGAACCCACTTAAGAGTAACCCACAGAAAGAAGAGTGGTTAGGTTAAGGGTAAGCCTGGTTCTTCTACCTCATTTATTTTTGTTTACCTGGTTCTCTTGACTCAGGAAGCCTTTCCACATTTCCTATTCAATGTGGTTCTAAACTTGCTTCCTCTAAGAAGTCTCCTGGCTTCCTTCCTCACTCATCTCCTCAGTGTGTGTAGGTGAGCCTACAGTGTGTGGTGTGGCTGCAGGCTTTCCACCCATGCTCTACCATTTATTGCATGAAGCTCCACAATCTTCCCAGTAACTCAGCTTCCCAGACAGGTGTAGGTGGAATGATGCCCTCCAAAGATGGCTGGGTCCCAATCCCTATTACCTACAAATACATGATTGACATGGCTAGGGGAACTGCTCAGATGTGATTAAACTGAGGATTTTGAAATGGAGAGATTATGCTGAATTACCAACTGAGCCTAATGTGAACATAAGGTCCCTAACAGCAGAAGAGGGAGGTGGGAAGGAGCCATGATGGAGAAGCAGAAGTGGCAGTGAGTGGGATTACAGAAGGCCAGCTTTAACAATAGATGAGGTTGGGGCCAGGGAGATGGCTCAATAGAATAAGTGCTTGTCTGGCAAGCACAAGGGTCTGAGTTCAATCCCTGGTTCTGCCAAAAACAAAAACAAAAGCAAAAAACAATAGATGAGGTCATGATCCAGAACACAAACAGCTGGAAAAGCAAAGAAACTGATCCTCTCCTAGAGATTCCAGAAAGAATACCAGCCCTTGGTTTTGGCCTGGTGAGAGCCACTTTAAACTTCTAACATCAACAATGATAAAAGGACACATTTGGGCTGTCTTAAACCATTGAATTTGTATTAATTTGTCATAGCAGCAGTACATCATGTCCTTTTGGTTTGTTTCTTTGCTGCCTGACTCCACATGGCTCCCCAACTCATTCTCACAACCTTCTGGCTGTGTTCAGTACACAGTGGAGATTCTGATATTTCCAAGTGGCTGTGGTCCCCTGCCCCCTCCAAAGGCCAAGGCTTTCCCCCAGTGCTCCCCACTTATCTCATCTTAGCAATGGGAAGTCCTCCCACCTGACTTACTTGGCCTCCTATGTCTCCAGCAAAGAGAGTGGAAGTAACCGGGTATGCAACAAGGAAAGATCACGGTTGTAGCTGGATTTCTGAGCTTGGATTATGAAGATTTATTTTTTAAAAGGAAGGAGGCCAATCTGATTAGGTAGTACTTGAGCCAAGTTCATTGTGGGCCATGGCCCTGAGTTGAAAGTTGGTGAATAAGTGGTCACCACATGATCTCTGTCCATCTGTCACTGGATAACAAGGCAGGCTGGAGACATTTTCTTTGACTCCAGCTCCTTATCCAAGGGTTCAGGAAGTAAGTTCTCAGACTCAAGAGGAAGAAAGATTCCCCTTGTTTTTCTTCAACCTGCTGACTTTAGTTACATTCTCTTTTACTACTCTTAGCAAAAGTTTTGCACTTTTTCCTGGCATCAAAACACTAACTGTGACCTTCTTTCCCATCTGAAGAAAAGGAAGAATCTTCAAGATGGAATCTTGAATCCCAAACTCTACCTTGTCTTAGAATGGTTTGTGTAGGATTCACTCAATTGTTTAGGTTGGAGGACTTGTCAGCATAATTCCTAGAGACAGCTCAAAAAATGACCCTTATTCTGGTTCCCAGTCTTGAGTTCAAGAAAGTTCTAGGGTTGCACTGTGCTCAGCCTAATCTGACTGGGGAATTCATCTATACTTGAATGGCTTGTGATCATTTTTTTACATAATAAATCTTTGAGCTGTACCTAGTGCAGGTGAGGTGGTTGCACCTGCACCTGTCTACAAAATTGTACATCCGTTTGCTCCAATCATGGATACATAAGTGGTAGATGAAACTGAAGATGAGCAGAAGGGTGGATCCATTTGTGAAAACAAAGGATGAGTGGATGGGTGAGCAAATGGGCAGGTCATTGGGGAAGTGAGCAGGTCAGTGGGTAGTTGGATGGATCATACATGCATTAATCAATAGATGGAGACAGTCATGTTCCCAAAAATCCCAATACAACTTTTGTTCATTCAGACATCATCAGCTATAGTTATGGACTTCCTGGCAAAACTTTCAAATCACAGGTCTGTTTGTCCCCCTATCTATCCTAGAAAGCACTGCTGGTCACACTGTCAGGTGGATGACTTTTAAAGACATCCTTTAGCTGTCTGACTAACACTGTTGTGTGATGCTGGAGTTAAGAGTATGATTATTGAGCCAGGGATGGTGGCACATGCCTGTAAGCCCAACGTCCAGGAGGCTGAGGCAGGAGGACTACCTCGAGTACAAGACCAGCCTGGGCGATACAGTGAGTCCAGGCCAGCCTGAACTACATGCTGAAACCCTGTCTCAAAAAAAAAAAAAGTATATGAACACGATGGGTTTAGCATAGATCTGTGGTATGGACAATGAGAAGGCCCATCCTGGGTGTGGGTGGCACCATCTGAAAGGCCAGGAGCCTAAAAGGGATAAAAGGGGCAGGCATGCTGCTGCTGTTTCCTGCCTGATATGCCATGAATAGTATCTCCTCTGCAATGCCCCTCCACCCTGCCACCCTGCCTTGGAGCCAGCTGACAGTGAAATCTCTACAAACTGAATTGAAATAAACCTTTCCTCCTTTAACCTTCAGTACCTGGTATGCTGTCAGAGCAACTAAAAACTGACTAAGACACAGAGATGGAGACAGTCTTTACATGCACAGAAGAGAAGGCAATGTGTAGTGAACACAAGGATTTGAAGACATTGGACATGAAGGTTGGGCAATGGGGCCACAAAACAAGGAACCCTGGTAGCAACCACTAGAAGTCTAAGGAACATCCCCCTCCCACCCTAGCAGCTGGAGGGAACTCAGCCATGCCGACATCTTGCTTTCAGTACAAGGTTGATTTCAGACTTCTGGACTCTAGAGCTCTAAGAGAACAAATTTCTGTTGCTTTCAGGCTGCCTAGCCTGAGTGATCTGGACCCAAAGTTTGCCTTCTTAGCTTGTAAAAAAAGTATTTCATTAGATTTTATTTCGTTGTTGATTTTAATGCTTTTTTGGTACTGGGAATTGAACTCAGGACCCACTAGATTGAATGAAACCTAAATTTTGTGAACAGTATCATAGACAAGAGGTTGTGTTTCAGGACAGAAGGTTAAGGTCTAGCTGGTCTGTTGCTGTAACCTTCCAGCCCCCAACCACCACCAAAGACTGTATGAAACATCAGCGATTTTCAAAATATGGTCCAAAGACAAACTGCACTGAATCACTTGTGGTGCCTTAAGCCCCATGACTTTACCCCAAACTTTAGAAGGTGCTGGGGTGAGGTGCAGACACCTGTACTTAGAACACACATCTCAGATGAGGCTTTGCACACTGATATGAGAAGCATACTATAGAGGAAAGAGTCAAAGGTGACCCTCCAGCCCTTCCCTTTATGGAGCAAGGCCAAAACCACTGACCCTGGGCCAGGTGCTGAGGATATGGGGCAGCCATTGTCCAGTTCAGCCCCTCACTGCTTGGGCAGGGTGCTACAGCAATCAGTGCTCACAGCTTGTGATGGGTATAAGGCTGAGCCTGTAGAGGAACCAAAAGAGTCCCATCCCCTTATGCCACTCATGCCATGATACAATGACAAAGGTGTTCAAGGAGTCAAAGACTACAGATATTTTTGAGAACATGAATTACCATGAGGCCATTCATGATAAGTTCATTTCTATTAAAAAGAAATTCTCCAAATAGTAATACTTAGAAAGGTATGTGCCCTTGGAATCTATGATCCTATGCTTTATGACTTACATATATAGAAGATTATTCACTGCAGAGCTGACAATCATAATAAAAGAGCAGAAAGAATGAAAATGCTTGTCACTTTGGAGGTGGTGAAATAAATTGTGGCACATCTGCACAATGAAAAATAATGAGGAAACTGTAAATATTGACATATAAACATCTCCAAGATAGACTGTTAAGGGGGAAAAAGTAAGGTGTAGAACCTATGTAAAATATGCTACCTTTGTGTATGAAAAGGGAACAACAGCATCCACATTCCCATTTACTTCGTATATGTATAAAGAAATGCTGGAATTCTGTAAGAAAACAGCAGTGACCCCTGCACCAGGGGATGGGACTATGGATGGACAGCAGGATGCAGGGAGCTTTTCACTCTCATTATGATTACATTTCAGGCCTCAGGGCCATTTGAATGTATTATGTATTTTTAAAAATACAATTAAATACAATACAATTAAAAAATAAGCTTTATTGTGATGCTTAGACCAAGCATTCGGGTTTGAGTTTTCCACACCTGTTTGTCCTGGTGTCCCAAGGCTGGCTGCGGGCTGGGTGCTGTGTTCCAGAGGCTACCCCTATTCCCAACTCTCTCCTCGGTTGGGCGAGATGCTCCAGGCCAGAATGTGCACACAAAAGTGGCAGTGGGAGGCCTGGCCATGGAGTTTCTTGCGGGGAGAAGCAGGTCCTGGAAGGTTCTGAGGTGTGGGTTCACCATGCCTAGGGCAGTTCCTAGGAACAAGAGTCCCAGCCCAGCTTCTAGTAGCTTCTAGTAGGGAGGCATCAGCTGCTCTCGACTCATGAGCGAGGAGTGGTGGTAGCGATCCCGAGTGGCGAAGTCTGCATTCTCTTGGGTGAGCTGAGTCATCGCCATGTCAACCCTCGCTAGGGATGGCGCCAGAATGATCTGCTCCTGGCGGGACTGCAGGCTCCTTTGGGGAGAGTACACAGACAATGGTAAGACAGAAGGAGCGAGCAGAGACAGCATAGGGGAGGCCAGGCTATTCTCAGTGGACAAATTATTTGCAAAAATGTCAAGTGTGCTAATGTTTAGTGTGTAGTTAATGTTGTAAATCTAAATGCTGTAAATATAACCATTGAGAGCTATGTGTACAACAGTTGGTGAACTCAAAGTATGAAAACTATTCACTGAACATCTTAGTCAGTTTTCTGGTTGCTGAGACCAATACCTGACACCTATAACTTAGAGGACGGAGGTTTATTTTGGCTCGCAATATGTAGGGGTTTCAGTCCACAGTGGGCTGGCGCCAAGGCAGGGTGTCAGGGCAGGGGAGAGCTGCTCAAGGCTCAGGAGCCAGGGAGGGAGACAAACCTTGCGGACCATACTCCCAGTGATCCGCCTCTTCTGACCTGACCGGCCTCCTATCAGCAAGTCAGCTGTATGTCACATTCCTATGATCACGTGAGGCTCTGGGGCTTCTAGATGTAAGCCATAGCATGGTATATGAAAGGAAAGACAGAGTGCAGCATTGGCCTGTCTGAAGTACAAGAGCATAAAGCATTACCCACCTGAAGGGATCTAATCCACAAACACAGATAGTAAAGGATATTTGGCATGAACAAAAAACAAATAGCCAGATAGTTTATATATACCTGACTATTTAGTTACCATATTGAATATAGGTTGCCGTGCTAACACTTTTTTTTGTCAAATGAAGAAGCTGGAGAATTGAGAAGAGGGAAGAGAGAAACCCCTTAGATTTGCTGGAAAGAAAGATGACAGGGGAATGATTTCCAGAGAGCTAAGGTTAACTCAGCCAGCAGCAAAGAGGTAGAATACAGAGGCTTTGGCACCGAGGTGGCCTCAAGGCGCAGAGAGCACCCTGATACAGATGACACTGTCACAGTCAGAATAAACCATAAAGAAAAGTGTTAGAGGTACAGGAGGAAAGCACTAGAAAATGGAGCAAGGAAACTTTGACTGGCTGCCAGGCAGCTACAGAAGGCAGATCCTGTTGCTGCTCTGTCCCTAGTGAGTTCAGAGGCTTCTGGACGCCTCTGTAACTCCATGTGCCTCCATTTTCTCAGCTTCTCTGGTTCTTTCAGGTCTTCCAGTCTGTGTTGGGGTCTCAATTCCGCCCCAAGGATTTCCTGGTAAGACTTTTACTCTTAAAGAAAACAACTATTTTACTAATACTGCAATAAGGCTCAATTGCTTACATCAGGAACATACTTGAGAGATGTAAAAAGGTAGAAATCTAATGTTATACATCTGTGGACTTTAAGTAGAAATCTAACTGACTCTGCAAAATGTCCAACCGCGTAGATCGGGTTATGTGCTAAGGCATTACGGACACTGAGAACATACCTAAATTACATCAGTTGAGATTCATCACCGGGTTAACTTTTAGCAGATTTTTTTTTTGAACCGGGGATTGAACTCAGGCCCTTGCATTTACCAGGCAAGTGCTTATTCTACTGAGCTATCTCCCAGGCCCAGGGTTAACTTTTAGTAATGGCTGAATTTTCAAAAAGTAAGGTTAAGAAATGACAAAAACGTCACGCCAATCAATCAGCATATGTACTGTCTCAGTTACTCTTTTCTCTTTGCTGGGACAAATACTCAACATTCAAAATGAAGGAAGGAAATGTTTATTTAGTTCACAGTCAGTGGCGGTTTCAGTCTATAACTCAGTTGGCTCCAAGAAAGAGTGGCCCATGGCAGAGAGCAACCATTCACAGCAGCCAAAAAAAAAAA